TAACACACATAGAGAAAAGTTCCAAGAAACTCAACTCAGGCTTTAAACCTTGAATTACAAAAATCCCATTCTTGAGACTTCAGCGAAACCCATGATTTTCGGTACGTAGATATAGCTCTTGTCACATAGAACAACTCTTGTTCTTGGCTCAAATTGATTCGACTAATGGTTTGCCCTAGATCATAAGAAGAAGATGGAAGAAAACCCTTGAATCTCTCTTTTCTTTCTCTTCTCTCTCTCTCTAATGAAAATGGGATGAGTGTATGGGGAAAAAATCTGATTCCCCCCTTTTTATACCCCTCATTTGCTTGGCGCTTGTTATGCCACACGTCTCGTATTTTCTGATTCAATTTTATCCCGAATCAATTATTTCTCGTTCTATGTTATGTTCAAAATATTTTATCTGAACTAACTTTAAATTCTTTTGCATGTTTTGCAATTAAAATCTGATTGCGTTTTTTTGGTCACACGACACTCGATTGCATTGTAAAACGTGAAAAATCTAACAGTCTCAAAATTCAACAAAAATTGACTGAGTAACTAAATTTTGTGAGATAAATCCAATGATGAGGTCTGTTTCATTACCTAAATTTTAGAAAAAAATTGGATTTCCAACCCAAATCGTAATGGCTTATTACCATTTTGCCATTCACAATAAAATTTTAAATTTTCCTGGATTTTGTAGGTACCTAATTCTTTAGTCTCTAATCTTACAAGCCATTAGTAGACTTGGATGTTCCATGACCCTGTGACATCGAATGATAGCATGGTGAGGGACTTCTTTGCACATATTTAGATTAATTGAGCATGATTCTCATATTGACCACTTTGTCAGATATATCACAGGAATTGAGTTCACTTTTTTTGCATTACTCATAGCTACCACATTGGATTTACCAAAGGTTAAGAATGATTACCTTAGTGAAAGCCCTATAAATCTATTGCCTCTTCTCAATGTATCTGCTACTGAATTGTATGGTTTAGATAATCCTGAACAATGGGTCGCTCAAAAATTCTTTCATAAATCATTGATCCCAGAGTACATGATGCTTCACCTCATAGTAAACTATAATATTGAGCTAAATATCCATGTTTCAGACTTCTCTGTTCCTAGAGCTCAGATGCTTTATTCCATAGGTAAAGGGTCTAATCTTGATTTGCCTATGATGATTTTTGGGTATATATGTTTAAAGGGACAAATATATGATCTTTTGCCTTTTGGATCATTGATTATTCGTATCTGCAAAGGGCAAGGTGTAATGTTTTTACCCTGTGACTAGTTACAAAACCCCATGCAGCCTTTCAACAAGATTTCAATGAAGATGAGTAAGGCCCAGGCAGACTACATTGAGGAAAGAGGAGAAACAATAGAGGAGTCACCAGTGCATCGTGAGACTAGTATGTTTAGGACACTGACTTGATCTTAATCGTATACCCAAGTATAAGTAGTCAAGTTGTAATATTACCTAGTTAAGTACAAGGTTGATACCACATGGAGTTATCTATTTGAAATCAAAATAGAAAAGGTAAAATTTTAGTGTGCATAGTGTGCATTACAACAACTTGTGATGTGAACTTAAACCTGATAAGGAAATACTTAAACTAAAATTTTGATTACAACAATTGAAAAAAGCTACTCTTTAGTTCAAGGATCCAACATGCATCCTATTGCTTAAGATTTTGAAAATTTCACCTTACAACAATTAACTCCTGTATCAATAGAAAGTTAACCAGTAGGTTTGATGTGTACGTTGAACCCCATCACAACAACGGTTAAGTTAGCCAGAAAGTCTATGCACCTTACAACAACCAAATAACCCTAGTAAACTCGAATGTGAACCATTTAAAAGATTTACTATAGCTATTCAATTGGGTGTTCTATGATTCAATGAAGATGGAGTTCCAGTTTATGCATTGAATCAAAAGCATTGACTATGACAAGATTTAAAACGTCTATAACCAATCTCCTGATTATTACATGAATCCCAACTATGCGCGTCATTGAATCATGCATGAAGTACATAATATTATATAGATGAAATGATATATAACACTAAGTTTAGCTCGGTACTCGTAACCATGAACATATTGTATTACGATACCAAACAGAAATGAAAACCATTCATTATTTAAGGGAGGTATAAACATTAAAGTTTATGTAGAATATCAGCATTTTCATAATGCAAACAATATTACACGTGTCTTCACCATTTACTATAGAGTATAAATGGACTACTCACACTTCATTGCAATAGATGAGCAAGAAGGGCATGACAATCCCATTACAATACAATGCAAATACAAAACAAATGCAAAGAATCTTTTCCTGAGGAATAGTTGAAATACCCTCACTCTTATTATCGACTAAGGCAAAAAAGTGAGAGTGGTTTAACCCTCCAAGTAAAAAGGAATACAAAGAAATGTAGAAGAAGAGAATGTTTGGCTAGAAGTGTTTAAGGTAGGGTATTTGTTCTCTCAGGCTCTGGCTCGCTAAAGGTGGAAGATCCTCTTTTGAAAATGACCCCGAGCATGCCTATTTATAGGCTTCGATGAAGGGTTAAGGCGGCAAACACCCAAGGCAACCAATTAGGAGCTTTGTTGCATCAATAGACCAATGGGAAAGGAGCTTGGAGTTGAGGCGTTTAAGACCACCGTCCAAATGCCACCACCACCCTCCAAACGATCCTCATCTTCTAGATTTTGCCTTCCAGCCTCCTTTGTTGACTTCTTTGACTTGGGCCAGCATTGGGATGGTTGTTTCACCATTCGAATGGTGAGCCTTTTGCTGAAATTCCTTTTGCCTCACTCCTTTGTTCTTCTTTTGCACTTTAGCCCTCCAAGTTCCCATAATTACATGTAAAACCCTACAAAATATATAATTCAAATATTAATCATGATTTAATCTCAATTAAGCACTTTAAATCAATTAACACTCATAATTAACCCTAAAACCTAATTCATTTATGCACTTTTTAGGATTAATCAGAGACCACCCCTTCCATGTGAGCCCAGTTCAGACATCTATGTTGCATATATGGCATCATTGGTTGATATGCTTACAAGGATGCAAAAATGCATAGAGGAGTAGCATGTGCTTACTTCACAAAGACTCGATGTGTTGGATGGTTGGATTGTAAGTATGGAGTTAGCTTAGTAGACGGTGTTTGGATCTCTTATTAGGAGAGTTCGTCATGTAGTGAGATTGATCAAGTTCAAACAAATCATTGGAGAGCCAATGCTTGATGAGACAGATTAAATATGACTTTGGAGACTTAGTACTAGGTCATATGTAAGCATGAGACGGTTTTATTCATTCATGCCTGTACTAAAGTACTCTATTTATTTTTTTTGTTGAATTTTAGTTTTTGTTGAATTTTTCTTTATTTAGCTCTATTTTTATTGCTATGACATGTTCTTGATCCTATGCTTGAGTGATTATCATATTTGATCATTGAGTTATATGTCTTGTTTGTCCCTTAATTAGTCTGTATATGATTTGGCTAGTGGATATGCATTCATACCTTCTTGTTATACTATTATTCTATGCCATGATTGTTATAGGTTGTGATTAGATTGACATCTATGGAAAATAAGATAAGAATATGTTAGGCGACTTGATAGTATACAGTGCTTGTTGTATGTTGTCATTGGGTTGACATTTGTGACAAAAGAGAGAGAGAAATATTTGCTCTTGACTTGGCTAGATATGTTGTTTGTGAACATAAAAAGGGAGAGTTTGTAGTTCAAATACTCAGGGGGAGTAAATTTGCACACTTGGCATGAAGTTACATTTTTCTTGTTTATTTTTCACTTGTTATTTTACTTGTGAACACCAATTAAGGGAGAAAACTTGATATGTTTTGCTTTGATAAATCAATTGGTTCTCAAGCATATGGGAAAAATTAGTTCGAACATGTTACATATTTACACTTACATGATGTATACAAAATTCCATCTGACATTATGTACCTACTAGCTTTTTGATGGAGTTTCTGAGCTCCCACCTTGTTTGATGGCAGAGCTCCATGCATCAAATATTGAATTAGGTAATAAGTCCAACCTTCTTTCTGTTGAACTCCTTTGACTTCACCATTCCCTTCCTCTAATGTTGGACCTTGGGAGGAGCTCCATAGGGATCACACAAGGGAGTTCATTGTGAAAGGACGAGGCCAAGCGTGCCAAGGAATCAGTGTGAGAATTATTTGCTCATGGGAACTGTGTTATATCAATGCTTTTTAAGCTGTGCAATATGTTCATGGAGCCTGGAGAGTTAGGCCACCATCCTTTCATCTTTGGCTTCATATTCCCTCCTAACTTGCTTGGACAATTAATGATACAAAAAATAAGCGTAAGGATATCCCCATCTCATGTCTACGACAAGGCTCAATAATAAAGTCTGACCCCCCGACCTCTAGTGGCACATCTGACCGCAGGCAAGAATGATCAGGTCGTCCATATCATCTCATAAGGAAGTTCAATATTTGTAACTCAGGTTAAGAGTATAGATCGAACTCAATTATTCATGAGTTATCTAAAAGAGTAAGAGGGCATCCCAAGCAGCATGATCTCTCACAAACATGGAAGACCACAGTGCATCCAAACTTAGAGATAAGTCACGATATCACCTCAGTATGTTCTAGAAGGTAATGTCACACCTAAGAAATATAACTTCTAACAGTCAAATATTCCATTAACAAAATCCCAACAAACTGGGGGACTATATGATAATGACGTAAGAACCACCCCACATTTGAGTATAAATACATGATGCAATCCTTGCTACAAAAAGATACAACTCTGTAATCTCAACAGTTGTAACATGTATCTTCTTATCCAAATAATAGAAAATCCTCAAAAGGAAAAAGGAACTCTATTAGAGTGAGAAAGTCAAGTTCATCAACCGGTGAATCACTCTATCATCTGTGTTCAATCTCACTTTCTAGCTTGTACCTTTATTTTATGTTTCCTGTAACATATTATAGAGCCCATTCACTGTTCACTCACTCGATCCATCTTAGCTTGCAATTTTTTTGCTCCATAAGCAAGTAACAGTACTTCATATTAAATTTAATAGACGCAAATTGAATTTAATATTCATAAATCGTTCACACTATTTACATAATACAACATTAGGTTTACAATAACGAAGCTAATTTATTAAGGTTTGACAACCTTAGAACACTGTTTGTGGACGAAGTCTTTGACCTCAGAAATGAGCTGCGTAGACTCGGGCAGTTCAGGAAAAACATAGAAAGCATGTATCATGTTTGGGTACTCTACCAGATACACTTCTTTTCCTGACCTCTTCAGCATCTCATAGTACCTTCTTTGCCAGTCTTGCAATGGATCCAAACCACCCACGAAGATTATGGTTGCCGGAAAATCCAACCCCGATATGTCAGCCGCCCTCGAATTGGTCACGTTGATGGCCGCATGGTCTCTGTCCGATCCTACTCCTGGTGGCAAGAATGCCCTCCACATCCAGTCTGTCCGACTAACAGATATCAAATGTGCGTCCTTGAGTTTCATCTCTGACTCGGTTCGTTCCTCTCCCCCGAAAAATGGTTGTATAGCCACTAGTCCAATAACCTTGCATGATCCACATAAACGAAAAATAAAAAATAAAAAATCTTCAAACGAATATATTGCAATCTTTGAAACGTAGATATATTGATAGCCTCCATTTCAAATTTTATTAATTTCAATCAAATTTAGTTATACACCATAATATTATGACATCCTTTTGGGAGACCATACACTTGGGGATTCACAAAACTTTGGACTTAAATATTGAATTTTGTCGATTCTGTTTACGTTTCAATCATTCATAATAATATTCAATAGATTCCAACAAGTCAACTAAACCTGTAGCACCGGTTCAAAAAAACTAGACCTGTAGCACCAGTTCAAAAAAACTAGACCTGTAGCAAATTAATCCGCGGAATTTAAGAGTAAATAATTAAACATGATCCAAAATCTGTACAATTCAAAATGGAAACTCCAAATCCAAAAATTTTAATGCTGATTTTACTTCCATACAAGTGAATTGTGACTTGACAGATCTGAGATGTTTTACTTAAGAAACTTCAGATGTGTAATGTCATATAAAAATACTGATAAAGGGGGATACTGGATCTTGAATTCCATTAGGACCATTACCCACCTTTAGTTGTCGAAAGTTGGAGTGGGAGGCTCTTTTGGACACATGGTGGGCCAAATTACCACCAGCACTGTCTCCGGCGAGGAAGCAACGTGAGAGATCTGCATTTTCCGGCAAGATTTGGCGACGAGTTTCCACATGGTCAAGAAATTGTAGGACATCAAATCCGTCGTCGTATTGGGCCGGGTACCGGTTTTCAGGTGCAAGACGGTAGTTGACAGAGACAACGATGGTGGGGACTTTGCGGGCGAAGCGGCGGCAAACCAAGTCGTAGGATTTGTTGTTGCTGCTGAGATAGACGAATCCACCGCCGTGAAAGAACACGATCACCGGGAGGTTGTCGGAGGGTCGGGTGGGGACAAAGAGACGAAACCAGAGGTTGCGAGAGGGGTCAACGGTAATATCGTGGGTCTTGACTCCGTTGATGGGGTTGGGATTGGCCGGAACTTTGGGTTCGAGGAGGCTTATGAGGCGGCGGTTCACAGTGCCGTCGCGGCGACAACAGGCGTCGGTCACGGTGGAGATGAGCGAGAGTACTAAGCGGGTCTTCCAGGGAAGTGACGGTGATGCTTTTTGAGGTTTACTTGCCTCCTCCATAATATGTATGTTTACGCGCGCGCGCGGCAGAGAGATAGTTTAGTGGCCGGTGAAGGTGTTTGAAGTGTACGTATATGCACGGATGGCAGTGGATCGAAAAAAGAGATGAATCTCTCTCTCTTTTTTTAATATATGAAACGAGCTTAAGTGGCCGTATAATTGAGAAATATGTTTCTGAGACTATTAAAGTCTAGTGAACCAACATTTTTTAAACAGATATAATAGTAGAGACTATTCTTTCGGGCCCGCCCGATCCACTAGCATCCGTATTTATATCAATCGTTGGAGTATTCTTTCGGGCCCGCCCGATCCACTAGCATCCGTATTTATATCAATCGTTGGGTACCACACAAACAAAATGCGAAAGCATGCCAAAATGCAGGTGGGGTTGTTGGAAAGCAACCAGGGGATTCAAAGAGAGAGGCGGTAGTGAATGGGTCCCACGTTGTGTCTGTATTTCTATTTTCTATCGACAATGGTTCCAATTTTGTTTGTTTGTGATACAAAATTAACAAGAATAATGTTATATGGAATTAAAAATAAATTTTGATAATCTCAAATATTGAATAGGTAGTAAATTCTAATAAATACTAAAACCTACAGTAAAATCAATAGTTAAAATTATCAAGTCTAATTTTTAAGTTTACATTTTAAGTTCACGTAGTATTACTCAATTAATAAATTATTATGTGTGCTTAATAAATTTAGAAACAAATATAGAGAGAATATTGACACAGTGAGAGAGCAATTTCTTCAATTATTTAGCATGTCATTCTCATTCAATTGATGTCTGTTTTAAAGGCAAAAGATACAAGTAGTGTTAAAGCCACCTGACAAAGGCAGGGAGACAACGGTGTTAATGCCACCTCCTTTATAAGTGAGGTGGGGTGAAAAAAAATAAAGGTGGTTCATCACCCCGAAAACCTTACAACACTTTTCATTGGAAGATCATTATATTAAGATAGTGTTTGACCCACGAATGTTCTCTCATTAAAATTTTGTCAGTAAAAGTTCTGTGGAAAAATATATTAGCAGTGGAAAAGAAAATACAATGGGCAAATTGTTCAAAATGGAACCTAATTATTGGCTCAATAAAAACCTTACTAAGTAAAACTCGAAGAAAAAAAACTTACCGAAGGTAAAGTGTACAAGGCTCCCCTTGTTGAATAGACCCGGTCAAAATAATAATTGTGAAGCCCAAAATTTGGATGTCCGTAATTATTCAATTGATCAACCATCAACTTGCAGAATACCTGTAAATACCGTATAACTTAATACTACGCCGTTATGCTCCATTTATTGAGATCCATAACTTAATAAAATTCGGGCAGAGTCTTCTTTGTACGGAGAGTTCTACCTAAAACATAATCTGTGCAATCATACAACATCGACCATACCAGATCCATTTATCCATATTCATAAACAACAATCACATATCCAAAACTAAATTACATAATAGTTTTACAAAATATGGTTTAAAGTCGCATCTCGACTTTTCTTTATCAATGAGGGCCCGAGTGAGTCCGTACCTGAAATGTTGTCCATAAATGGTGAGCCACGCTCAGTAGGATATCTTCTAAAGAGGCTACTTCTCAACCTAGATGCATATGAAATATTCACATGCAAATCTCAAGCAAAAATTACTCTATTCAAAAATATGCAATTCAACAATAAAATTCTCTATGTCATGCCATGATATGAGATGAAACTCACACATGCAATTCAACTCGAGTCTTTACCGGCTCTCTCAACACATGCAATACCATGCATATGAATCTGGACATTCCAAGCCCCTGCCATTGATGTTACACATCCAATGACTTTTTTTTTTAAATCCCGAGTCTTTTTTTTAGTGGATATTTATGGACTCACACCAATGGGCACCTAACTGACATGACATTAATGGACTTCCACTAACGGCTCCGCATACACTGACACACTTTATGAATTTAATACTAATGGAGTGAGTATCTAAATCACCGGGTCTTGCACCCGAGTGAGAATCTAGCATTTCTTGCCAATCCCGACCTTATTTTCAATGCAAACTATGCGACTTAATTGAACCTTGATCCAACTATCTCAAGCCCACGTATCATTCACCAAGATTGAAGTTTGATCAAACCATGCACACACACACACACACCCACACTCACGTCAAACGCCCAGGAATGTGATGTTATCCATATATATGCAATATACATATACAATTACATTTCATGTCATTATGCAACTAGGATGTTAATTGCAATTACAATATCATGTTCAATATGTCATGAGCACATTCTGAACAGTTTAATATCCAACAACATTTTTCATGATAAATTACATCATAAGTATATAACCACCATAATAACCTCAATGTCAATATATCATATGCATATATCAACATTTCTCAACATTAAATTCCAAGCATGTTACAACATAATCAATGCAAATAACACACTTAATTCATATAGGCATTTAATCAAATACCTTCAAGACATCAAATCATGTAAATACATAATATGCCCAATTTTATCACATATTTCAAGAAATCATAAGAAGTAATTTCTATATACCCAATTCATGCTAGAATTGATTTTAACAATTCTTAATACTCATTTCCCACATTTCAAGTACCATAGGTAAGTGAAAAATATGAGATTGCATCTCTAACACTCTACCATTTTCATATATATTCCAAGCATGTTATAACATAATCAATGCAAATAACACACTTAATCCAAACTGACATTTTATCAAACACCTTCAACGCACAAAATTATGAATTACACGTTATGCCCAAATAATCACATTTCTCAAGAAATCATAACAAGTAATTTCTACATACCCAATTCATGTTAGAATTGATTTTAATCATTCTTAATACCCATTTTCCACATTTCAAGTACCTATAGTTTTCATGAATTTACCAAACAAGTAAATTCTACAAACCCAATTCATGCAAGATTGGTTTAGCATATTTTTATACCTATTTTCACACTTTATTTTTACTAGGAGTACATTAAACAAGAGAATTCATCTCAATTCATGCTACCTATATCATATAGAACCCTAGATTGAAAATAAACCTAATTAGGAAAAGAACCCTACTTCTTGCAATATAAAAATAAGTTGTAGAAACTTTCAAGAACACAAACCAAGCTCAAACTTTGATTTTTCCCAAAATTTCATTTTTGAATATTCGGTGAAATTCGCAAATTTTAGTATGTAGTCGTAACCCTCGTCGCGTAGATTAATTCTCGGCCCAAAGGATTCCAACCAACGGGTAGCCATAGATCATAGAGAGAAGTTAGAAACTCTCTTTTTCCCTCCCTTCCCTCTCCAATGAAATCCAGATGAAAAATGGGGAGAAAAATATGATTTTATCCCCTATTTATACCCTTTGGAATGCTTGGCTTTTGTCGCGCCACACGTCCTCCATTCCCAGATCTGATTTTATCTTAAAATGATTAAATTTTATCCCAGTTCAAGTTTAAAATATTTTTATATGAACTTCCTTTAAATCATTTTTTAATTTTTAAAATTTAATTACTTGTCACATTTTTAGGTCACGCGACACTTGCTTGCCTCGTAAAACGTAAAAACTTCGATTGTCTTGAAATTCAATGAAAATTGACCAGATAATTAGATTTCACGAGACAAATCCAATGGTGAGGTCCATTTTGTCATTCGAGTTCTAGAAAAATTTGAGTTTTCATCTCGTACCATAGTGACAAATTACCGTTTTGTCTTTTTCATAAAAACTCAAACTTACCCTGATTTTACAATAATTGTTCAACTTGATAGATCTATGAGATGTCGCATTCCGATTTGATTCACCAATTTCTATAATGTAGTCAACGGGAGTGCTTTAGTGAACAAATCTGCCAGATTTTGAGTGGAACAAATTTGTTGAACATTAATATCACCATTTTCCTCTAGCTAAAGAGTGTAAAATAACTTTGGCGAGATATGTTTCGTTTTGTCACATTTGATACATCATTCCTTGAGTTGTGTGATACAAGTTGTATTGTTCTTGTATAATATTGTTGGAATACTTTTGATTGAAGTTAGTCCACTTTGCTCTTATATATGTTGAATTTGGATCTTAGTCAAATGTAATCTTGACTTGTTTCATGGATGACAAATATTTTGGAGTGATTGGATGACGTAACAACTATTATTTGCTTAATTGATTTTCATGATAGTTGTACCACCATATGTAAATACATATCTAGTTTGTGATCGAGTCTTGTGTGAATTAGAAAGATAACCGACATCTGCATATTCAATTGATTGAGAACTTGTAATGTCCCAATTTCTATCATAGAGACATTAACTAACTACAATCCATCGAACCATGAAAACATACTAAATTATCATTAAATAAATAAAACAATCCATCAATTCAATGAATAACTAAACCAACTGCTTCATCCTCAAAAGGGTGCACCCAAGTGCAGAAGGTCAAGAAGTAGTAAATACTAAGAAAATTTGAGGTTGACCACAAGGATCAATTAAATCAAAAAGTAAAAAAAGTAGAATAGGCAACAATTGGGTTGTAGCTTGAATTGATTTTGTAAATTAAAAATAAGGAATTTAAAAGGAATTAATTAATTGGAAAAAGGACTCTTTAATTTTGGAATATGTATCAATTCATTGCATCAATTAAATATGTTTATGCAATTATAATTATCTCAGTTGATTTTCAATGTAATTCTAGTCAACCGAAAGATTTGACTTTGAAAAACAATAGGCAATTGCTTTGAAAATAAGAATTTAAAATCTAGTTCTATGAAAGTCACAAGGAATCATAAGCACTATTTATACCACGAATTCAATCAATTTAATAAATAGTCAAATAAGTATACAAAACATAAAACTTTACTAATTATAATTCAAATTAATCTAGAATTTCAGGAAATATAACAATAAAGCATATGGAAAATAATTTCATAAAAACATAAATAATTAATTCAAAATCTAAGTTACATACCCTAACTAAAGAGCATAAAGTAAACTACTCACTAACTACAACAATACTTGACACTAAAAATAATAAAATTACAATGATCCCATGATGATCTCTCAACAAGTGAGAGCTCATTTATTTATACAAAATAACCTAGGTATAGGTACTAAGTTTCTAAAAAATTGGTATTTTAATTGATGAAGGCTTTTGATTGACTTTAATTGGCGAGTCTGGACAATGAAAAATCACTAGAATT